GAAACAGCTTTAACTNTCCCTTTCACCTCGGAAAGGCCTGCTGCACACCTCCGCTGCTAACCTGCAACTACGACCCTGCTANGCTACTGCATGCTGCATCGCTAGTGCACCTGCGGAATTCTGCGCTCGCTCATATCCGCTACTTACATTTTCGCCAGTAAGGGCCCGATACTCGATTCGAATTTCGCGGCCGCGAGTCCTGCCGCCGAGCGCGAGCATCGCGTCGCATGTAGCGCCCCTCGCGACCTGATTGGTCGCCGCGATCTACCCTACGCGATCCTAGCGCGCTCAAACGCATCGACCCCGAATCGATCTCAATCCTCGCTCTCTTGGTCGCAATCTACCGAACCGGACGGACGCACCGACGACACTCCCGACGATCGATTGATCAAGAAGCCTTTTCCAATCTATTCACTGGGATGGACCAGGACGACGACGTACGGTGAGGTGTCCTCGTTACTTTGTGAGCCGCGAATCCGCGTTACTCGAGTCTCGTGTCGAGGCTAGTCGCTGAATTTCGCGTTTGGATACCGGCAAGGACATAACCTTCGCCATAGTTTTGGGATTTTCGGCAGCGGCTAGAATCGAATTCCACGGGGCTTCGTGGTGATAATTCGTAGGTTTAAGTGCGTGTCGCGTAATTACTCTGTTGAGTAGCTCAAGCCCTGGAGTTCCGGTAAAGCGCCAAGCAGCATTTTTGTATTCCTTTGCGTTTCGCGTGTACAAGTAAGTGTATCGTTTGTCTGGTGTATCGTTTCGCTATCGCCATATTTCGTACCGGGTATTGTACCGATCCGCGTACCGAATACCGTACCAAATATCGTATTTCGAAACTAACGCTATCGTAACGTGTCGCATCCTGCNTACTGATCACCGCTTATAGATTATCTGCTGCTGCATCAATCTTTTGCGCTATTCTACCGTACCGCTATCGCGTTTTCTATCGCATTTTGATGTGGATTTCCCGAGTGATCTGCCAAGAGCGAGGGGTGAGCGATTTGGAAGAGCTATACTAAAAGAATTTCGGACCGTTATCGTACCGAATCTAAGAGATCTACCGTACCGTACTAGAGGATCTCGCGGATCGAGGAGCGCCTAGCTCTCGTTCCGGGGAACCAGCTCTTCCGAAGTCGTGAGCGCTTTGCTCGGGTGTGTTCATTGGCATGTGCATGCTGCGTGATTTTTGATTGCTTACGTGCACGGTGACCGGGGACGGGAATTCGGCGAGAGCTTTGTGCCGTGTCCGGCGCCCGCCTTACCAGCCCCTGCGAAATCAAGTAAGTCCCTCGGCATCGATATTACGCCTGGTGGCCTGTCTAGTGATAAGCGCGTGATTTAGCTAGATTAATTGACCCCGCCGCTTTGCAGCTTCAGGAAGGCTTTGGTTAACTCGCTTGTGTCTTTGCCTATCATAACGCCTGGTAGTGTATAGCGTATGTGAAGTCAGCGCGACAACGTAGCGTCCTCGATATCCCGAGTAAATATACGAAATCGGTCTTGCGATAGATCACGCTTCTGTTGGAAGTGTTTGTTAATTGTCTCTACTTTTCTATTTTCTTTCTCTTTATTTTCTTTTGTAATTACTGCCGCCGCGACAAAGCGATCTCGCCGTATCCTACCGGTGAACTTTATTTTGTATTTTTTTGTTATTTTCGCTAAGTTGTCTCTTATTCCGCGGCATTATAATAAATTGTTTATTTCTTTCTCTCTATCTGCAGTGTGGTTGATTACGACTCTAATCCGAGATTCGTTCGGGACAGCCCTGTTTATTTATCGTCCGACCCTCCCCCTCTCCGTTTCAAATAGAGCTAGTCGGCCCATTGTGCTGAGCGACGCATATTTTGACGCGAGTACGCGTCTGGCGCCCAAAATTATATCTAAGAATTCGTCGGCTCGGTACAGTGGTTGCTCGGTTTGACACCCTTTTCTCTCCTGCTGATCTAGACGTTTCCTATCTCGCGGACTTCCGTCCGTGTCCCGATCTCGTATCTTTCCGTTTCGGGCGGGACGACGCGGGAATTTCGTAACATCAGAGAAAAACGTCACAATATTTACAAGAAGAAACAAAAATGCAACTGTATTCAGACTTATAATATCGTATAACTGCCGTTTTCTTCCCTCAAATTTTACGCTTCTACCTACAAAGGGACTGCGTCCTTTCAAATCAGTTTCTTTTGTATATGTTTTCTTGTAAGAAGACCTTCGGACTGTTTGTGCTGCTAGAGCCGTTAGTCGTTCGTGAACTTTTGTCGTTAGTGCTTCTGTGCCAACATTTTGAATATGGAACATTTACCGAGTCCATCTTCGGCAAAAGAAAACGTAGAAGAGGAAAAAGACATACGTTGCACGACGAAAATTGTAAGGGCAAACTAACAAACGCTCTCAAATATTGCAACAGTTTATTGCAAGAGAAAGATTTGCTAACGGACAATCCTCAAGAGAAAATTAGTTCTTTCTCTATGGCTATGGGCAAAGTAATTCATGATACAATTATTAACATCCTGGGGGAGCAAAAAGTTGTGACTGAAGAAGAGTTAATATTATTTGAAAAAAGCGATAGCAAAAAAATGTACAAAGAAGTAAGTAAAAAGGATAGTTGTCGTATTTTCAACGTGTTCATGTGTAACTGTTGTTTCTATATTTGACTTTGTATATTATCGTAGTTCAAAAGTGATGAAGATGAAGTGTACAAACCAGAAGAATATAAAAAACCACCTTTTAATTATAATCCTTTGGAATACAAGGCGAGAACAGTCGCTTTAGCAGAAGCGCATCCAAAGTGATCGCTAGCAACGTTTCACAAGAGAGGCTGCAGTCGCTTAACCAAAAAAGAATTTCTCAAAAAGTGGAAAGAAGATGTACAGAAGGGTGGAACACACTATAATAAATGGTTCCATATCGACACAGACACCTTTGATCGTTTCAAGGAAGCTAGAGCCTTTTCGGAGCAGGTAAGCGTATTGTTATATCAAAACGGCAAATAGAAAAAATATATAACTGTAAAATACGTATGTTGATTGTAACTTTAATAGGTAACAAGCCGAACAATCCAGCAATGGGCAATGGCAGCAGCATTTCCGTTTATGTCAGAAAACTTTACGTTTAACGCTAGCAAAGACTGGGTAAATAAATTCAAAAGGAGACATTGAATAAAACAGCAAAAAGTCACAAAGTTTGTGAGTGAAAAGGAGTGCACATCGATAAACGAGATCTAACAAGCGGCCGAAAAATTCCAAACACAAACACGAGTTTTAATCTCACAATTTCCTAGAGATTTTGTTCTAAACACTGATCAAACTGGATGTCAATATAGTATTCCTTATAATAGAACTTTGGAACATCAAGGTGCAAAAACAGTTGTTATAAAAAGAAAGAATTTAAATAAACTTATGCATATATATACTGCGCAATATACTTTGTTGGCGTCGGGGAAAATTATTCCTTTTGTATTCTTGTGTATGCAGGAACCCTCAGGAATGTTTGGTCCTTTAGTTCGACAAAGAGTGGATAAATTGATCGCAGAATATAAAAATGTTGTTGTAACCTGTTCGAAATCAGGAAAGCTCACCACCGACTTATATAGAAAATTTTTAGCAACTATTATTGTACCGTATGTTGAATCGAACAAAGTTTTGCTCATAATTGATTCGTGGGGAGGGGGCCAAACTAATTTTATTTTATTTGATGAGATCTTCAAAAATGAAAAAGGAGAAGCAACATGTACAGTAAAAATAATACCGCCAAAATGTACACCATTGTGTCAGCCATGCGATGTGTATTTTTATCCTCAAGTAAAAAATCTGCTTAAGCGCCTGCAGAATGCTCCTACATTATTACAGGAGCAGCGAGAAATATCTTCTCGTGAAGACAAAATAAAACTGCATTCCTTGATAAGTGCTCCGGTATTTAATTATATGATACAGTATGCATGATTTGCCTTAAAACTGACTAGTGACCGAACGATTTTTTTAAATGTAAACGAAATATGTTTTCCTTCGTCGTTAATTACACAAATGTTCTTGCGGAAAAGTAAGCTTTATACAATGTGCTTGGTGCACAACAGTATTATGTTTTACTTGCTTTTATGATTGGTATCATCCTACAATGTGTAAAACTACAGAGCAACAATGATACATTACTGTTAAAGTAAATACATATATGTACACTTCGTATATTTGCATTGTTTTAAACATATACAAAAAAACTGATTTGAAAGGACGCAGTCCCTTTGTAAGTAGAAGCGTGAAATTCGAGGGAAGAAAACGGCAGTTATACGATATTATAAGTCTGAATACAGTTGCATTTTTGTTTCTTCTTGTAAATATATATATGTATACTTCTTATATTTGTATTGTTTTTTTTTTTATTAAAAGCACACAACAATAAAAATAGTTTCAAAATGTATTTTTCTGCATATTATTAAATATTTTCAATATTATATTATATATTTTTTTCATATACTTGTCTTTATAATAATCCAAACAGTGTGATAACATAAAAAAAGACAAAACTAGCATGGGCGCGAACATGCAACCCGCGGACGCTTAGTCCGCTGCGCCACGCTGTTACTTCGAAAAACCTTTTTTTGGAATTGTACTTAAGGAGCGTGCAAAAATTCAAACTGCAATTTTTTGCAAATGCTTGAGAGTTGCATTGTCTCCAAATAGCATTTGTTACTTCTATATGCGTACTACCTTTCTGCAAAATTTCATCAAAATCGGTGACCCACTGGGTGTACACTCTCCTTGTCAGTGAATGCTTTTTAATGTAGTAAATATATGTTCAGTTTTTTAACTGTATGTTATTTGTTATATTTTTGTAGATTAGATATTACATTTCAAAAAATTTATACATAATAACAGTATCTAACTACTTAATATGTTAAGGTTTTAATTATTTGCAATAAAAGATAATTTAACTTTCAAATTAAAAAATAAAATCTTACAATAGTAGGATTATACTAGTTATTAAGCTTTTGAGATATTAAATTGACGCGAAAGAACATAAAGGAAATAGAGTGAGGGATGCAAAAGTCACGGAAATGGTTATTGCTCACTTTAAACAGCTAGGGAGTGTTTGCATCCAGTAAACAGATCTAGAATGTTTACTGAGCGCTTACTGGGGGATCAATATGCAGTTGTGTGCTTCTGGATGCATCCAATAAGTTCAATTATCGACGCTAAGAGCCAAAACCCTTGAGACAGTTGCATGTCTTGTGTGGCATCGAATTTTGAACCTAAGAAAAAGATTATGTCAGTTTTATCTCTTTTCTTCCAAGTTTCTTAAGTTGTATCTGATTGTATTGTTTCTAGATTATATCTTTCTTTTATTTTGTCTTAATTCGTTATTATTATTTGTTGTTATTACATCTAGTTATCGCAAAAAATCTAGCTCAAAAGTGACTATTACATTAGCGCCACGTATATGAATTGTATAGATATGAATTATCGTGCCACTTTGTAACCATTCATACGTCTGCGTTACACACCTACGATTTATCTTATTTAATATAAAAACCTTATGAAAATAATGGTTTTATCATAAATTTTGGGGTAATTGGCGTTTTACAATTTTATACCATAAAGATTCAAAGTAATACCGTCTGAGGAGAGATGCTTTGCAAGAACCGATAACCTCAGCTTTCAATAATGAGCAGAAAATACACCTGCTTACAATTACTACGATTTTACAGAAATCCAACAAACAGACCACGCTTTATTATATTTTTGATCGTCACTAATTGCTCTCGTGCGACAAAATAACCAGCTGTGACATGAGCGCAAGAAACATCATGGCTTTAGAAGACTACAAAAATTGTCCTTGAACAATCTAAAGATACGTAGTTATATAAACATGACCGAACAATTACATTCAAAAAAATAATTTTAATTATTCTAATTAGTAAAAACATTTTTATTTTAACATTGATATCAATTTGTTCGAAGATTATTTGCATTTGAATCGCAATGTGGAGTAAAATATTTTTCTTTTATTATACTATATTATATTTTGCTATATTTTTCCATCTGTGTCTGATAATAAGTTGCGCATTCCGATATAAAGTAGCGCACGTCTTGACTTTTATCTTTGTAATCGCGCAGCTACTCAGAGCTCGTCTTGAAAAAATCTCTAGTGTATATCTACCGTCAAAAGGTAACATAACTCATATATCCGCTCCCGCATGTCGTTTCCATATTGCCGTTGGTGTCGAGCTAATTACTTATAACGTACTACTCTATGCACAATAAAGATATAATATATGCAATAATAAATTCGTACATTAGATTTAATTGGCAGATTTAACTGTGTTTTCTTTTTTTTACTTGCTCAAACATTTTCTTGTAATGACAATGTAAAAATATATAATTTGACAAATATATATACAATATACTATATATATATGAGATTTTAAGAATCGCTGAAATATAATATCTTGTCATTCTCATTCAAATCACTTCAAACACTACTTAGTCATGTCGTCATAGGCAAACAATTACACAACCGTAAGCTCGCAATCACGAACTTTTGTTTTTTTTACCAACTAATATATTACATGTTTATACATGCAAAAAAAATTAGCTATTGTGACAAAATTCAAATGACGTCTCCCATTACTCAATGAGTAAAACATTGATTGTTTTGTAATCTATTGATAAAGGCATTTTTTCTCTCTTTTCTTGCATTTTTTTACTTACGGACAATTTCCAGTCCGAGTAACAACCACATTTGTTATGATCATCCGATGATCAGATGATCCATAAAGCTCGGACTAGCTGACTTTGGCCAAGTTTTGGCTACGATCGGTTAATCAAGGTGCAAAGACCACGACGCGACTTTCCAATTAATTTGTCTCATTGGTCGAGTATGTTACAAATCTGCTAGAGCGCTTAAGAAACAGCATCTTTATATGATCGTGATTATACGCCAGTGTGATTAAATATGTAAGAAACGTTGCTATCCTGATGAATTGGTGGTCCATGCCAGACGCGTCTCGTTGACGAATTGTTGTCGTTGTTGTTGTTGTTGTTGTTGTTGTTGTTGTTGTTGTTGTTGTTGTTAGTAACATAATAAGAAGATTTTCTCATACTTGTCGAAGAGGACATCATCGCAACAGTTTCGTAGTACCTGAGCTTGCCGCAGCATCGACCGCTTTTCAAGATGGCAATAAAGCCCCGTCGATATTTTTTGTTAAAAAAAGCGTAAAGGATCGGATTTATGCAAGAGTTGCTGGCACCTAGCCATTGAGCAATTGGAGTGGCGATTGGCAGAATCTCATCCAGCTTCTCAGCCACGTCACCACCCAGCTTGATTACGGCAAAGATAACATAGAGAGGCAGCCATGACAAAACAAAGAGTATCACTACTACGACCAGCATCTTGACTACTTTCACCTTCGACTTCTGCTGTATCTTCTCCATCTGAGCGTCTTTGGTATCAGTAGGTATGTGCCTGCGCCACACTTTAATCCATATAAGAATGTAGCAAAGAGATATGAGAATCATTGGCAATACATAGCAAAGTGTCAAATTCCCAATCAGAAAGAACAGCGACCCATCTTCCGGATGTGGCCACGTTTCGAGGCACAAACGCAGATCAGGTTCATCATCGTAAATAGATACCAGATCGAAAAACAGCAGCCACGGCGACGTCATCATCAGAGCAATAAACCAGATCACGACAATTATCAAGCGAGCTCGTCGCTTTGTAATTTGACACTTGAGCGGCCACCAGATTGCCAGAAACCTGAAATGTACAATCGGAAAGCTGTTGTTATCAATTTCTAACATTCATAATTCAATTTTTTTAAACAAGTCGGTTTAATATTTAAAAAAATATCAAATATTCAAAGTAAAAAGATTACATAATTCTTAATAAGAAAAATGTCAAGGTATTTGAAAGAGAAATATGCTAAGTAAATCACTATAAATAATTAATATCAAAAAAAAAATAATAACAAAAAGAAGATTCTTCGGGCTCAGGAGTCTTTAAACTAATGAATGAAATAAATTGGGTTGTAAGAGCCGTTTGCGGAATGTTGTGCAGAGAATGTGCTTAAATATATATATATATGTATACACATATATACTTCAAAATAATTTTTTTTTCTTTTATATAGAATGCTGGATTTGCATCACATATATATGAAGGACCCCGTATACCCCCCTAACTAATTTTAAAATAGTGCGAAAGAAACTCCTTAGCCAGGAGTCGAACCTGGAATCTCCGGCTTTTCGGGCCGTCGCCTTCCCTGTTAGGCTACCAAGGCACTTGGAGTTTGTCTCGCAATACTTAGCACATCTATCGAATATTCATCTGATAATAACGCCATCTTCCACCAGCGTAAATTTTAAACTAATTTTATTAGTTTAAAGACTCCTGAGCCCGAAGAATCTTCTTCTTGTTATTATTAATTTAAAATTTACGCTGGTGGAAGATGGCGTTATTATCAGATTAATATTCGATAGATGTGCTAAGTATTGCGAGACAAACTCCAAGTGCCTCGGTAGCCTAACAGGGAAGGCGACGGCCCGGAAAGCCGGAGATTCCAGGTTCGACTCCTGGGTGAGGAGTTTTTTTCGCAATATTTTAAAAATTAGTTAGAAGGGTATACGAGATTCTTCATATATATGTGATGCAAATCCAGCATCCTATATGGAAGAAAAAAATTATTT